CAGTGCATGCCAGCAAGTTTGATGCAAATTTAATGGATCAGAGTCTATCAAAACACACAATTTTACAAAACATAAAAATGGACAAGCTTACACAGCATAAGCACAGATATAAACAGTGCCAAAAGGACTCATACTGCTATAAACTTGAAAATTTGTTCATCAGACCAAATAAGTTACAAAAATAATTTATATATATATATATATATATATATATATATATTTTTTTTTTTTTTTTTTTTTTTTTAAACAAAAAACATTGGTTGGATAAATTATAAACTAGCTTTAAAACAAATTTATACATGGCATGTCAAACTCAACTATGACAATTCTGGACAGAGCAGTACAATGGCACATGGAGCTTTAGTAGTACTGTGGCCCACATCTGTCTAATTTTTAATTTAGAGGATTAGACAGCACTTTGAAATGTCATGTGTGAAACATCTTTTAAACATTAGGTGATTGATATGTTTTTACCCTACTTAAAAAGGGGTACAATAAACAATTTTAACTTGTTGGCTGTAAAAATACATTAGTAAGGCTATCCTTTATGAACTATAGAACATTTTGGGCAGTAATTAATTTTTTTTTAAACGAGCCGACAGCTGCAAAGGCGTTGAGGACAGATGTGGTATCAAACACCAGTTTGACATGCTTGATTTACATCATATAGTAACCACTAAGCATATTTGAGCTTGGTTTGGCCTTGGAGTAGAAACTATTTTTCAGGCAATTATGAGTATTTGTAACTGCACAAGTTGGAATATTTCAGGAACAGATAGCTTTTAAAAGAGACACAGGTAAAATAGAATGGACATTTTAAATCACAAGAAAAAGCAAGACTTAATATGAAAATTGGAATTCCAAAACATACAATTATTTTCTAAGCTTCTAAGCTAACTTTTAGATGAGATACTTTAAAATATAAATCCATATGACTAATCTATAGTTTCTTTGGAATTCTACAGGGCCAAAATAGAAGTAACCAAGAAATATAACTGATGAAATCTAGAGGGTATAAGAAAATACTTGGCGTGGGGGGGGGGGGGGGGGTAGAAACAAAGCAGTGAAACCATTTTAATTGCTTGACATAGCTTTTCCTGTGTATGGCCAGCATCATTTTGAAATGTTAACAAAAAAAAAAAAAAAAAAAAAAACCCACACACACACACAACCCAATGAAATATATACTCTAGTCCAACAGGAACAATGGAAAAATCAGAATTCCTCAATCTTACACAATTTTCACAGTCAGCAATACATGTTCTATTTTAGTAAGAAAAATAATGGCACAAGCTTATTTTAAAGCTTTGTCAAATATTTAAAATATATCCTTAGAATTTAATACTCCACTTAATATCCTCAAACTGCAGGTGGTCAGCAACCTCCTTGAGATTGGGTTACTACATCCTCCCAGGGCCCAGAACAGTTCATTTTCTTGTGCCCTGTGCATGCACCAGTAGCAAAGAATAATGCTCAAACCAAATCTGACCATTCTTTAGTCATGGCCCACTGTGATTTATTACAGATATCTTGGTTCTGGGGAAAGAGGTGTAGGTGTGTGGTCCCAAGATGGCAATAAATTAGTATACATTGGCAGTGAATCAGTGTATAGGGTGAAGAAAGGGGTAAAAACAAAAAACAAAAAAAAGGAGTCTTTAAAATAAGCTATAATTTTTTAAAATTAAAAAGTATACCACTAATCTAGCACACATTTGTTTACACAATTCCTACACTCTTATACAGGTTTACAATCTATCCATTTACAGGTTGCATGCATATTGTCTAGGACATACAAAATATATTTACACATATTGTAAAGCTTTTAAAAACACTTTCATATCTACTAAAGAACATTAGTTGATTTTTTTTTTCTTGATTGCAGTCCCAAATAGCTTTAGAAAAAAAAAAAAAAAAAAAAAAAATATAAAAAAAAATATATATATATATATATATAATATGCGCATTATTTTTCGAGACTTTTCCTTTTGCATTGAAATTGGCTATATCCATCTTAGGAATGACAGAAACTAGTGTACCTGGTTCATTTTCAACTGGCTTAGGTCACTCAGCATTTTGCCAAATTTGAATGAGTATAACCCTCTATAGTGGGGTCTTGATCAGTATTGGAAAGCGTCAGGATTCCAAGACTATTCATTATTGAACATGGTAGCTGTCCACCAGTAAAGAAAGTTACATTTGTTATTTTCTGCAAAGCCCACAATCCATCATAAGGGTTAATGTTCCTCCATTCAGTAGAGCAAATGTATCTTGCCCAAAAGGTGTATAGCCAGGGGCAGACTGACAACTCATGGGGCTCCCGGGCAATAGGGGATCATGGGGCCCCTCTGTCCTTGCCCAAACTCAAAAAAGCCTATGGAAAAAAAAAAAAAAAAAAAAAAAAACCCCGGGGCATCTCATGGGGCCCCCTACTGATCCCAGGCAGTGCCCAAGTTTCAAAAAGGTCAGTCCACCCCTGCGTATATCCCTAACATCCCACACAAATCAGTGTGGCAATTATCAAAAAGCACTATAAGCTAGATCCATAAAAGAATTTACAATTTAAGATTGAAGCAAAGGATCCACTCCCCATCCCAATAAATCTACCCTCATCTTATTTAAAAAAGGCATCTTCAAAGTCTACATCACCCATTTCAAAGTTGCCTTTGCCATGTTGTACTTGAGTGCAACATAAAGTTGGTGGTTGAGGTGTCCTGCTGCTTTTTACACCTTTTTCGCTGGGATAAGCTTTGGCTTCTACCTTGGTGCCCCCACCACATATATTTTTCCATATGTTATTAGCATTTTGTTATTTCTTATTCAGATAAATAAGTGGATTTTCCCTCCTGGTCTCCTGAGGAAACAGCCTTGACCGCAAAACATGCGGAGAATTAAAATTTCACAAGAGATGAAGTTTCCCGATTCACTGCTTTATACACTGGGTGTGCTGGTATACATTAAAAGCTGTAGTGAAACTTTTCTGTTTAGGCATTTATCGTTGGGTGCATCTTTTATCTTTATAATATTCTCTATTGTTATCTAATGAAATTTATAGTTTTACCATCTCATCTTGTGTGCATAGGGTACCTTTAAAGTCCAACATTTTTTTTCTCTAGTTAGTCCACTTGAGTGTAAAAATTCATCTTACTCGTAGCATGATGAAACCATCAAGCAGTTACAATTTTACACTTCTTTACTTCTATCAAAAAAAAAAAAAAAAAAAAAAAACCCACCACAGTCACCCACACACACACCCACCACAATCCATGGGTGCTGAACATATGTCAACATTAGTGCAAGAATAACTCACATGTGAAAAAGGATAGGCTCTTAAAGTGCAGGGCTCTGTACATACATTTCAGTGTGCTTATAATTATACTACATATCCTAAAATATTGTATAAAAGGACAGTTAAAATCAGACTCCATTTTTGTTGTGGACTTGATCCTGCAGAGCTCAAAGCTTGAAGTTTGTCTAGTGTGTAAAAAAAAAAAAAAAAAAAAATTAGAAAAAAAAAAAAAAGCATACAAATATAAAATAGTCTTCTCTGCAGAATTAGTTTGTTGTATTGGTGGAGAAAAAAAAAAAATATAATTTTTTTTTCCATACAAAACACTAATTTACTGTATATACATACACAGTGTAATACCCAGTCCAGTAAAAAAAAACTGAGCAATACCTTATTGGTCTTGCAGAGTTTCTCTTTTGTTCAGTACAAAATACTTCAACTAAAAGGTATGCAAATAAAAACAGGAAAGTCTATACAAAAGAACACCATGCTGCAGAGACCTGGAAACTAGCTAAGACAATACAATGTCCAGGGCTGTATTATGAATGAGTTGTGCCTAAGGCACTCTTGCTTCCCATCTATTGGAGAGATCCCCTGAACACTTATCTGTATTTTCAAAAGTCAACTATGTTCACCTGCGAAATAACCAGGATAGATTACTAAGGGAAGTGCACTGCTGTAAGGCAGGCCAGACTACAATAGCAAGTAGGAATATTAATAACTAATACAAATGCAATAGGCATGGACTTTTAGAATTTTTATATTTAAATAATTAAACAGACCAGTAATAAACAGGATCAAACAGAATTCAAGTTTTGGCGATTTGGCTATAGTTAGATTGGCCGATATGCAGCACTTTGTGTGCTTCATTGCCATTTTGTCAGTTTTATTATAAAAATCATTTTCCAATGCATGTTTACTAAAATTAAATGTTACTACACTAAAGCTATACAGTTCCCCCCCCCCCCCCCCCCCGTTCAGCCCACAGGCCGAATGATGTCCCCCACCAGCTATTGCATTATGACACCTCCCCAGCTGTTGTCAGTAAACTCAAACTAATCCCTGCATCTGATGGGGTGCAAGTAGGGGCCGACTGACAGCTCATGGGGCCCGTGTCCTCACCCACTCAAACCACACCCAAAAACAGCCTATGAAGCTACCAGGGGCATCTCATGGGGCCCCTTACTGGCCCCCGATCCCTCAGGCAGTGCCAGTGTTTCCAAATGGTCAGTCCGCCCCTGGGTGCAAGAGCTGTTTAGGCGACAATCTTCTACTTTGCCCAATCTAATTGGGTGGTGCTGACAGGGGTTCTGAATTTAAGCCATGTATGTTAAGCTGGCCATACACGTGTAGATTTTTGGGTGAGAATATTCGTACAAAAATTCTTTGAAAACTTAGTGAATGGACGAATGTCGTTCAAAAATGGTCTTTTGCCTTTAACATTAGAGTTTAAAATGAATGTAATTCAATTCATGAATGTAGCTGAAAAGTCGTTTGATCGAGAAAAGTTTTCTGCCCTTTCAAATTTTTCCATCACTGCGGTCGAAAAAAAAAAAAAAAACTCATCATTTTGACCCCACTAATGACTAGAAAGTCAAGTGAATTTTCTTGAAACTAAAATTCTCTAAAAAAAAAAAATCTATACGTATATCGCCAGCTTTAGTCTTAAGAATCATGCATGCAACATTAGTATCTTACATTTTTTTTTATCTATTTACTTACCACATTCTGGAACAGGGAGCAAGCAGTATAATTCTCCTGATAAACATCTGCATAATGAACAATCTCTAATTACCCATTCAGCATTTAGAATACCACCAGGACAATCTCTAAAAGGAAAAAAAAAAAAAAAAAAAAAAAAAAAAAAAAGAAAAGAAAATAAAAGGATCGGAATGATTTATTCTGCAGCGTTCATGTAGAAAGATGTGCCAATTGCTTTTAAGAGGAAGTGGGGTTCAAATAAAAAAAAAAACAACACACAACACACACACACACACACACACACACACACACACACAATAAAAGTAAAAGTACACCTGCCAGTGGCAATCTGTTTTTATCTTTTACTCTTTTTAATTTTAGCAAGGAATCAATTTCCTCATTATGGTCAGGTTTTGTGGAAGAGGACCTTTTCTTATAGGGGGGATTGTCTGGAACTTAAAGGATAAGCATAGCCAAAGCTTTGACTATACTTCTCCTGTAGGTTGCAGAGTACAATTCATTCTACCGTTCTAACTGGTTTCAGCCCACAGTGGGCTAAAGTCCCCTTTTGGCTGATGTCACTCAGCTTGTCCAGGCTCAGGAAAGATCCCAACCATATGGTCAGGACCCACCCAGAAGCCTGGACCGGCAGCTGGCTCAGCCCCTCAGCAATCCACCAAGAGCCTGAGCCAGCCCCTTTGGTCCCCACCACTGCCCAGTAAGCTCTGGAGGAGCAGAAAGCCGGAGACTGACAGTTATGGCTCTCTGCTCAGAGTGGAGGGAAGAACTGAGCAATCAGTGGTGTTTGATTGCCCAGTTCTCACTGCAGAGCTGGAGGACAACATATGCAGCAACAGATTTATGCTGCATCACCTAGGGGAGTATGAATGTTTTAAGTCAATACTTCCCTTATAATAGACCATAGGTCAAAATTGTCAATGTGCACAGCAATTACCTGAAAGAAAAAAAAAAAAACTAGGCTATAAATCCAAAACACCAAACAATGGCAACACCCAGCAATTCATTAATGTGAATAGATAGGTCCTACCTTCTTGTTTTGCAGAGTATTCTTTTGTCTGTTACCAGCACAGTAGAAATTCTTATGCAAGTAGTTACCCTTGCACATGTAACCAACTACACATAAACATATTTTCGTTTTCCATGCGCACTAGAGTCCTTGCCCTAATACAAAAGACTTAGGGCTTGCCTATTCTAATTCTAGACACACTAAATGACTAGTGAAGGAAGGAAAGCGTATATTACTTACGCTGGCCACTTTTCAAATTCACAATGACGTCCATAGAATTGCACGGGACAAATACAGAGTGTTCCGAGGAAACAAGTACCTCCATTATAGCAACATTTTTTATTTAATTTCCGGCCTATTGAGGGGGGGGGGGGGGGAGAAAAAGAAAAAGAGAGAAGGAGGCGTTCAGGTTTACAGCTTTGCCAAGCAATTAAAGAATAATAAAAAAAAAAAAAAAACTTATTGTACAGTAAATTCGTTTTTTTTCCAGCATCATATACCACTTTCAGAAGTAAAAGGTCGTAAAGGCTGCAAGTAGGCAGGTAAGTGTATATGATTTATTTAATTAACAGCACTGGGGGAGTGAAGTGTATTTGTTGATTTAGCCAGGTGTTGCAGGAGTGGCAAAAGGGAAATATTATCCTTTGTAAGAAAACACACACACTCTTTTAGGGCTCAACTAAAAGCGGTGTCAAGTCCAAGGTTGGAATACTTACTGTCAGTAATGCCTTGAAAAGGAATTTTTTCTGAACTTTTCAAAGTGCTTGTGTGGTTAACCTGGCTTTTGAGCAAACTGTCTGGGTGACAATAAGGTCCTGTACATGATTCCCCTAATAAACAAAAAAAAAAAAAAAAGCCCACACAAAATTGACTTGCACAGTATAAGAGAAATTAAAAAAAAGTAAAAAACAAACAAATTGGCATATCCAGTAAGGTAATCCAAACATTAAGTTCAAAAATCTATAGCAATTAATTGGCAACACTTCTTTTGTATGGGAGCAGTAAACAAATCTGGTTATTAGGTGTTGCATACACAACACAAATACTTTTGCATATCCTTATTACACTATGCCTGGAGTTTGAGCAAAAGCCTATTTATGGTTTGCTCATGTATAGCACAGTGGGATTGATTTACTAAATGAGTAAGGCATGCTCATATGACTTTGCAAGATGAACCCACTGATGTGTAAGGAAAAGAAATAAATAAAACGAAAAAACAAAAAAGGATAGGATTTTTGCTTGCAGTTAATTGAAGTCTGTGCAAGTAATTCAAACTAAAATAATTTTTTCTTTACCAAGTACATTTTCACTTAGCTAAGTGAACGAGCCGATATGACATCATCCAATCCTAATTAGGTATTCCTTGAAAAGTGAAGTTTAAAAAAAAAAAAAAAAAAAAAAAAAAGTTTCACTTCATAACGAAGATATGTGAAATTTTAATTTTGTAACGGGAATATACTCTAGTAAACCAAGATCACACGTTTTCAGCAAAAGTAACAAGAATATGTACTTAGGTTTTTTTCCCCAGAAATATGCAAGCTACACTAGTTACTTTGCAAGCAGAAATTGACTCCGATTAGTTTTATAAAGTTCTCGCCCAACTATTATGCTACAGTGGATAGGGAGTAAAATTAATGTCCGCAGTGTATTTCTGACAGTAAACATTTACAATTTCTCAGAGTGACGTTTATGTAGCAGTATCCAACCCAATTTTGCCCAGACAATGATACCACCATTGTCTTGTCTAGAATTCATTTATTTTTTTAAGTTAATTTTATTTTTTTAGAAGTTACAGGAAACTTGATTGTAACAAAAAGGTAATTGATACAGGAACAAAAATATGTCTTACCATAGCTAAAGTTGATCAAATATTCTGTTGACATAATGAAGCTCACCAGAAACCTGTAAAAATAAATTCAAAATCAATGTAACACTTGTCAAAAGCAATGTGTTATTATGGCACAGAAATGGCTTTGCTGTGTGATTTGGTTTTTATATTTTAATATTGTAGATAAAAAAAAAGTTTATCTAAATTGGATCATCAAGGGCCTTGTAGAAACCAGGACGTTTTGTAGAGACATTAAATTCTACTGGCTGGCCATACATTGAACAAATTTTTCCCTTTAGATTCACCAAAACCATATAATAGGAGGTCAAACCGAAACACTGAATTGTATGCAATCAGGCAGGCCCTGGCACTACATAGTTGAAGGTAAATCTAAAGGAAATTAAACAAGAAAATTGTAGAACGTGTAGCCAGATTAAGCCTGATTTACACCTATGTGTAGCAGGAACGTGCATGTTATTTGCATTATCATCCTTACATCACAACTTAGTCAGTCCTTCCCCGAGAACAAGCATGCAGCCAGTGAATTCTGAAAAGTCTGCACACATACTATTTAGCAAATCCAGGATCAGACCCTATACCTACAATCAACAGCAGCTCCCATATTTCTGCCTACACAGACCTCTATTAAGATACTTGAATATTTTTTTTAAAAAAGGTCTACATGGGCATTAAGGAACATTGCACATTTTACATAGATTTAGAAAGAAAATGAATTGCAGCTGATGAACTGTACCACAAAGCTGTGACACCAGTGTTAGGGATTTTAGAGGGAGAGGGTGTGGAAATAATTAAAAAGTATCTGAACCTTTTAAAAGGTTCCACCCCAGTTGAAATATAACTTGTCTTAAACTTTTTAATAAAATTACCTTCAAATGTAACCATGCACATGCAGATTATGTGCTGGTAAATAAGGTCACTCCTACAAATAATGAATAAGGAGGATGAAAAATAATCATCATGGCATGCATTTGAAGCTCTCAAATGATCACATCTTCTGTGTTCCGAACAATGTGGGCAGGCAATACAATATTGCTCATATCAGTCATTTTTGGCCATCATTATGGATGGCCAAAGCGTTTACTGGATGGACAGCGCACTATTGATAAGGAAAGGTTCACACTTGAGTTTCTTTGGGTTTTTTTTTTAAGCACATGTACAGGCATTTTTGCAGGATTGAGCATTTGTTTTAGCCAATGGAAAGCTAGTTACTAGTAGAAGATGCAAAAAATGCATTAAAAGAAATGCACATTTTAGACAATGTTCAGCTGCTCCCATTAAAGTCTATAGGGACCTACAACTCTGTCTCAAAGAAGCTCATTTTCTTTTTCAAGTGACATGTTTAGGTGTGAATGGGTACAATGGCAATCCTCATGTTGAAGCCTTTTTAGAATAGCACTTCAAGGGAAGCCTATGAAAGTCTTAGATGCCAAGTTCTATTAATTACAGAATTGCCAAAGCTGGCCTAACACTTTACAACCTATTATATAGTGTGAGGGTCTACCAAATAATTTTTTTTTTTTTTTTATTAAAAAAAAATTAAAGGGACATTTCTTATTACATTATAAGATGCATGTGACAAGCAAAAGACTGCTAGGTTTGCAATCTACTCCCATCACAATGAGTTACAAGTCCTGCTAATGGATTAACCAGATCTCAAATTTTATTTGTCCTCGTTTTCTCATGACAATACATTGAAAATAGTCTTGGGAAGTTGGAACCATTTTATAGGGGGGGAGAAATGCATAGAATTATACACCCCGCTATGCTGCAAAACAAAAAAGCATTGCATGCAGAAATTACAATAACCTACAGCATCCATATTGATAGTTGCATAGAGATGGGTTACTGAACTTTAGCCACCACCATTTCTCTTGCACTACCCATCCAGTGTGTTTAGAACATGTTAAACTGCTGCTACCTCTGTAATAAAATGTGTTATGTTCATTTCAGTGAAAAAATATACTGTGTACACAAGTTAGTGCAGTTCTGAAAGTTAGTGCGCTGCCTGGAGCATTTAGTAGTTGAATGTGTTGAGATAATGCATTTCTTAGGTGTAGCCAATAGTACACAAAACAAATTCTATGCAAATCCATAGACCAGAACACAAATATTTAATTTATCCACAGATTTAGCATTTATTAAAATGGCAAACACCAATGACAATATACAAAATGCACTAACCTACATTTCACAATTCATCACTTATAAAAACACAAATGGAAAATTATATATGACTTCTATGAGTTACAGCAATATCTACTTGGATCATCCCCAATAAAAGTAGCAATTCTTTATATGGAGAAACATATATAATCACATCTAATAAACGTTCTATAGAAAACCATGACAAAATAGTATTATAATCTAGACAGATTGAATTAAGTAGTCACCAGAGAAACAGACTTACTTTATAAACTGCATTTCTTAACTGTAGCTCGTTCTTTTTCTTAGATGCTGTTTATCCAATAGGTCTAAAAATGAGATAAACCTGTACTGAAGAGTACCCTGAGAAACAAAATCTCAGTTTGTGAATGCTACTTAAGAGTGAAGGTAAGCTCCACCTGCACAGCACAGACCTTCAATGTCATTAGCATGACTTTTACCTTCAATCCTATGGCCTTGCTCCACCCAATGTTTGGTTTTGGCTTGAAACTAGGCTTTTGCATATGTTAAATCACCTGGTTTGTATTTGTAAAGCCCATATTTACATAAACTATGTTCCAGGAAATAGATTGTATATAATTAAACATAGCATTTAATGAACTACAATGTTCTGCTTTTTAAGGCTATTTTAAAGATATTAGACCAACACCTTTCCCACTGCATCTACAGATTTTATCATTTTGTTTGCTTTTGTAACATTTGTGGTCATATATGTTACAGCTGAATCTACAAGAAGTTTTTCTGAGTAAAAGAGAGCCAAATGAGCTGTTTTATAGCTAATGTTATAAATCATGAGGATTGTGAATTTTGTAATTCCCATGCAAATGAAATGAATCCAAACATTTTATTTATCCAGTCTACATATTCAAAGGGACCAGATTATAATGATCTCTATACAAAAAAGGTGTGTAAAAAGATATACTACTAATCTATGTGCAATGTTTTAGCGCATTTATCTTGCTTGTGATTCTGATAAACACTGCACTTTTTTATTGCTTTATTTTAATACAAGTATTTTTTTATGTGTTAGATACACCTGCGTAGCATAAATAACTTAAAGCAAATTTGTGAGTATAAAAAAGTGGGTTGCCACTTCATCCCTGTAAACCCGAACACATGCTATTTACACAGGTTCTGTGGCTGATTAAGGTGGTAATTAAAACTCACTTAATGCTTTATCTGCGTGAAATTAGCCTCAGAACCTGTGTAATTATGTGCTTGATTTTAGGCCGAACATACATGGGTCGAAAATCGACCGATTTTTCTTCCACAAATCGGACCTAAGAATAGTCAGACGATTATCGCTCTGTTTGTAGGTCAATAGCACCGGCCGATTTTCGAGGTTCCTCCCCTTTTCGGTGATTGGATGTTGGAAAATTCGTGCAAAAACGACCGATTTTCGACTCAATGACG